TAGGGTGACTGATAGACACCCGTATACACACACACACACACACACACACACACACACACACACACACAGGGTTTGACGATTAAGTTCACGAACTTGTTGCAGCGATGTTGCTAACCTTTTTTGATATCAGAGGGACTATTCATTGTGAATTTGTATCTACTGGACAAACAGTTAACCAAGTTTACCATTTGGAAGTGCTGAAAAGGCTGAGTGAAAAAGTTAGATGACCTGAACTTTTCGCCAACAATTCATGGCTGTTGCATCACGACAATGCAGCAGCTCACACGGCACTGTCTGTGAGGGAGTTTTTAGCCCATAAGCAAATAATTGTTTTGAGACACCCTCCCTACTCACCTGATCTGGCCTACAATTACTTCTTTCTTTACCCAAAGATAAAGGAAATGTTGAAAGGTAGACTTGTTGATGACATTCAGGACATCAAGGGTAATATGACAGCTCTGATGGCCATTTCACAAAGAGAGTTCCAAAATTGCTTTGAAGCGTGGACTACATGCTGGCATTGGTGCATAGCATCCCAAGGGGAGTACTTCAAAGGTGATCATAGTGATATTCAGCAATGAGGTATGTAACACTTTTTCTAGGATGAGTTCGCAAACTTAATTGTCTGACCTTAATTGTTCCTTATAAGGAACTCATAAAACTCGATAGCAAAAAGCTGATAACCCAAATAAAAGTTGGTTAAGGATCAATTTAAGCATTTCTTTTAAGAAGATATACAAATAACCAATAAATAGATATATAAAAATTGCCCAATGTGTCTCATCGTGAGGGAAATGCAAAGCAAAACCACAATGAGCGATCTCACACCTGTCAGGATGGCTATTACCAAACCACCACCACCACCACCACCACCAACAGAAACAGAAACAGAAAACAAAAAAGCAGCAACAATAAAAAACAAGTGTTCAAGAGGATATGGAGAAATTGGAACCCTTGTATGTTGTTGGTGGGAATGCAAAATGGTGCAGCTGCTATGGAAAACAGTAGGAAGACTCTTCACAGAATTAAAAATTGAACTACTATGTGATCCAGTAGTTCTGCTTCTGAACATTTATCCAAAAGGCTTAAATCAAGATTTCAAAGAGATATTAGCATTCCCATGCTCACAGCAGAACTATTCATAATAGTCAAGATGTGGAAGCAACCTAAATGTCTATGGACAGATAAATACATAAAGAAAATGTAGTATATACATATAATGTAATACAATGTAGTCTTAAAAAAGAAGGAAATTCTGCATTATATGCCTACTTGGTTAAACCCTGATGACATTATGCTTAGTAAAATAAGGCAGTCACAGAAATATGAATACTGCATGATTCCACTTATATGAGGTATCTAAAATAATCAAATTCATAGAATCAGAGTGGAATGATAGTTGCCAGGGCTTGGGGAGGGGGAAATGGGGAGATATAAATCAATGGGCCTAGTTTCAATTAAACAAGTTGAATAAATGCTAGAGAGCTGTACAAAATTGTATCTGTAATCAACAATACTGTATTGTACACTCAAAAATCTCTTAAGAGGGTAGACCTTATGGTAAGTGTTCTGACCACAATAAAATAGAAATTTTAAAACATTGGTAAATTATGCTCACTAAAATCCAAACTTTATTTGGATTACATAGTTTTTTTTTGCATTAGTTCCCTCTTTCTTTTTGGGATCCAATCCAGGGTACCATATTGCATTTATTTGTCCTGTCTCCCCAGGTCTCTGACAATTTTTCATTATTTTCTTGTTTTTCTTGACTTTGACAGTCCTAAGGGGGTACTGCTTAGGTATTCTGTAGAATGCTTCCAAATAGGGGTTTATGTGATGATTTTCTCAATTAAGAAGGTATTATGGCTCTGGGGAAAAGAATATCACAGAGTGGAAGTCTTTTTCATCACATCATATCAGGGGGGTAACTGATACCCACCTTATATCACTGATGATGGTCACCTCCATGCTTTGCTTAAGTATTGGCCAAGTTTTTCCACACTAAACTTGAATGTAGAATTTGAAATGCAGTTGAGTTAGTAACAACTATTTCTGGATTGTTCTTTCTATTTTCTTATTTGAAACTACAGTTTTTGGTTTTTTTCAATGAATATGTATTATTTCAATAATTCAATATCTAAAAGCAATTTATGGAATAGATGTGGGTGATATAATTATCCTTAATGATCTAGAAGAAAATACATCTATCACAATGACACAAGGGACAGTGTTTCAAATAATTGTATGGTTGTGGCCTACTGAGTAATACTCCAATTATAATTCTCTGTAGTCTACATCCTCATTGTCATGGAGGCAGATATAAGACCCTGAGTCTGGCAGAGTTTATAGACTATGGATTCAGCTTTCAGTGTTTATGTTTTTCTTTTGTATTCTCTGAGATCTCTTATGTTCTGAAAATAAAATGCCATTTTACTGCCACTTTTGTTCAAACCTTAAGCCTATTGCTATCTTAAAAAATGTTTGATGACTGAGAAGAAAAACGCCTGAGTTTTCATCTATCATAAAAAGAAACCCTCAGTAAGTTAACCAAGCGCTTCTGGTTTCAGGTCAGTTTATTCCTTTTTTGGTATCTCTCAGTTAAGGTATAAAACATGGAACACACTGCAGCTCATGTAGATTATTCCAAAAATTGTAGATGACCTCTTTTTATGGTCAGAGACATTTTAACTTTCACTAACAGGGCTTGAAGTATTTTTGAGAATTACATTTTTTGATACGGAAACTGGAAGTAGTGAGCAAGGGGGAAAGTTACAGAAAATTTATGGGGTATTTATTGATTTTGAACTCTCATAGGCCTACTTTCAATTTGAGTATAACCTAATCCTAACTCATTAATTTTCACCAAAATAATTTTCAATTCCAAGTCTTTTTCTGAGTATTTTTTGGTTATTGACCTAATAAGCCAGAGAGTAGTAGCAGTATCCTTAATATGCCAGGGTTTTGTTAATACAGTAAAACCTTGGATTGCAAGTAACGTGTTTTGCAAGTGTTCCGCAAGACGAGCAAACATTTCTAATAATTTTAACGTGATAAACGAGTGATATCTTGCAATATGAGTAGTTTGTTTCCAGAATGAACTATGCTCACAAACCAAGGTATTACTGTATGTTTAAATATTGAAGGGTACTCATTTATTAAAATAACATGAACATGAATGAACTTTCACAATGCATCCACCAAGCCCCACTTGCTATTGGAGAGAATGATGGCAGATGCTTTGTGACCCAGGTTGCTTGTAGTGCATGTAGAGGTACCTGGAGCTGAGTCTGGAGCCTGATACCTGTCCAGGCAAAGCTAAGAAGATAGAACAGATCATTGGTCTAATTCTGCTGCAGCTTCACTCCTATATCTTGGGGTCATTCATTTGACGACCTTAGCTTTACTTTCTTATCTTCCCCAAGTCTGCCTCATCATGAGAGGACTTCTTATTGGTTAAGAAAATCTGTAATTATCATTGTAATTATCATGTAGAGCATATTTAATATGAAACTATGGTTAGTGGATATATGACACTTCTGTTTCTCAAAAAATTATATGTATAATTTATATAATATATAAATATCAGAATGGACAGCCTAAAAGTACATTAATAGTAAATTTAATTAACTTTAATTAATAAAATAATAAATGTTAAAGAAAATGTTGATAAAGGACCCACAGGATTACCCCTGGAGATAGTGTACCCTTAATGGAGTTTAGATGAAGGCCACCTGATCATTTCATGGAGAAGATTCTTAGTAAATTTTCAAGCATTAGGTAGAAAGCAGGGACAAGATACATTTTAAAATTTATTTCAACTCATATATGGCATAAAGCGGTGGTCCAGTTTCATATTTTTGCACGTGTCAGTCCAATTTTTCCAGCACCATTATTAAATAGACTATCTTTTCCCCAATGTAAATTCTTGCTTCCATTGTCATAGATTAAATGAACACATATGAATGCATTTATTTCTGGGCTCTCTATTCTGTTCCATTGACCTATGTGTCTGTTTTATGCCAGTACCATACTGCTTTGATTACTATAGCTTCATAGTATGATTTGATGTCAGGTAGCATGATAACACCAAATTTGTTCTTATTTCTCAAGATTGCCGTGTAGGGTGTCAGATGGGCACATGTCTTCTTAGGGAGACCACTTCATGGATGGTGTAGAGGCTTGACCACTGCACTGTACACCTGAAGCTGAATAATATTGTATGTTAACTATAATTTAATATATATAGTCACGAGATCTGGAGTATAGTATAGGAAATAGAGTCAATAGAATTTTAATAGATACATAAGACATCAAGGGGCAATAGATTGGGGGGGTTTATCACTTTGTGAGGGGTGAAATGTATAACTATTGCATTGTTTTGTACACATGAAACTAATAATACAAGAAAAGAAGGAAAAAAAATTATTTCAACTTATACATTCAATGGGCATTTACTTCTGTATATGCCTAGAAAAGCTTGAAAATGTAAAAACAATTAATACTAAGATTTACATGGCATTGTGTGCAATGCCAAGCAGTCTCCGGATCCTTAGAGTAATTCTTAGGACCATGACAAGGTACACTGTGCTTCTGTTCCACTTGTCTTGCTTCTGTTTTTTACGATTCTTTGTGTGGCCTACATTTTTATTTCAGCTCTACATTAATAACACTAACAAGGGCTGGATTTTGAAAAACACAGTGGTTAACTATGTATTTTCTAAACCAGTGGTTCTCACCATTTGGCATGCATCAAACTCACCTGGAGAGCTGGTTAAATCCCCAGATTGAGGGGCCTCATCCCAGGGTTTTTGATTCAGGAGGTTGGTTATGGGGCTAGAGAATTTGCATCCCTAATTGTTCCGCTGGTGGTTTGAGGACCTTTGAGAATCAGTTCTTTATCAACTTCACAAGAATGCAAAAGCCTTTCTTCTCTCTGTTTCTCTTTTCTAATCAGTTCTGCTTCTCAGGAATAACTTTTGGCTCTTTATTCAACAGAAATCATGATGTTATCTGAAGGAAACCGAAGTATCATACCCACTTTTGTTCTCCTGGGTTTTTCAGAATATCCAGAACTCCAGGTTCCACTCTTCCTGGCTTTCCTGTTTGTCTACACAGTTACTGCAGTGGGAAATGTGGGCATGATAATCATCATCAAGGTCAATCCTAAACTCCACACCACCATGTACTTTTTCCTTAGTCACTTGTCCTTTGTAGATTTCTGTTATTCCACCACAGTTACACCTAAACTTTTGGAGAACTTGATCCTGGAGGACAGAGCCATCTCTTTCTCTGGTTGCATTATGCAGTTTTGTTTCGCTTGCATATTTGGAGTAGCAGAAACTTTCATGTTAGCAGCAATGGCCTATGATCGTTTTGTGGCAGTCTGCAACCCTCTGCTCTATACCACCGCTATGTCTCAGAGACTGTGTGCTCTGCTGGTGGCTGGGTCTTACTCATGGGGTACAGCGTGTGCCCTGACACTCACATATTTTCTTCTTCAGTTATCCTACTGTGACTCTAGTGTCATAAATAATTTTATCTGTGACCACTCTGTAATTGTTTCTGTCTCCTGCTCGGACCCCTCTATCAGCCAGATGCTGTGTTTCATTATTGCCATATTCAATGAGGTGAGCAGCCTGATGATTATTCTGACATCCTATATTTTCATTTTTATCACTGTTATGAGGATGCCTTCTGCAAGTGGGCGCCAGAAAACCTTCTCCACCTGTGCCTCCCACCTGACAGCTATCACCATCTTCCATGGAACCATCCTTTTCCTTTACTGTAGCTCTAGTCCTAAGGCGTCTTGGCTCATAGTTAAAGTGGCTTGTGTGTTTTACACAGTGGTAATTCCCATGCTGAACCCCTTGATCTACAGTCTTAGGAACAAAGATGTGAAAGACACATTAGGAAAATTAGTTGTCACAAAATGTCGTTGTCGGTCAATATATTGTTAGAGTCATTATTTTATTTCCAAATTAATTGAAATAAAATAATGCTGCAGGTCGTTCAACTCTTGATGATTCAAATCATTTGGTCAATAGGTTATTAGTTCATACATGGCAGCACATTTCATGATAATTGATTTTTGTATACATTCATTTTTAGTGAAGTAACTTGAAACCCCATGTAAACCAAAATTAAAAATATTAAAACTCATGGACCATATACTGCAATATTTGTAAATTATTTTTAGATATATTACCATGTAGTGTAATTTTGTATGTGTCTCTGCAAAGTAAAATTAACTCCAAGTTCATCAAACATGTGCAGGTCTAGAATGGTTCCTTAGACCTTAGGATTGCGATCAGGCAGCTCATACTCCAGACTCGGCTTTAACAAACGCTTCAGGTTCCTAGGCCCTGGACAGCAACCAACATTTTGCTGTTTTTGTATTGAACGGCAGAAGTTGACTTTTATTCATAAAAATTATAGCCTGCTGACTAGCAAACAAAATTAAATAAAGTATTGTTCTGCTTTCCCTAAATTTATATCTTATATTATTCAAAAAATTCAAAAAGGCAGTGGGATGTTAGAGCAGTAGAGTCTCAAAACGGGTCCAGGCACATGGTCATTTAAATGTCAATAAACGTGTAATTAAGATTTAATGAAAAAAGGGTAATTTTCAGCAATGTTGAGATAATTGAGTATGCATATGGATAGATGAGCCTTCGTTTTTACCTCATACCATATACAACTTGAATTGTTTGATATCGATCCTAGATCTAAGCATACAAATTAAAGCTACAGAATTTTAGTTTAAAACATAGGAAAATCTTTTGAAACTTAGGGTGGGAAGTACTTAGATAAAACACAAAAAGGATGGACTATCAAAAAATTGATAAAAGGAATTTCATCGACATTAAAAACTATGGTAAAAGTTTTTTAATAATGAAAGACACCGTTAAGAAAATGAAAATATATGTCACAGTATGTGAGTAAATATTTGCAATATGTATATTTGGCAAAGAATTGATGTGTAAAACAGATAAAGAATTCTTTATGCTCAAAACAGTTAAGACAATCTAGCAAAAGAATGGCGAAATAATTTGAGTGGACACTTGGCAAACCATATAAACACATGAAAAGATACTAAGCATCATTACTCATCAGTGAAATTCTTATTAAAACTACAGTGTGATACTAATGCATACCCATTAGAATTGCTAAAATTAATAAGACTTAAATACCAAGTGTTGGTGAAAATGTGGAGCAAGTGGAATGATCATGTGTTTTAGATGAAAGTAAACGGTAAAGTGATTGATAACTGTTTGGGAGTAGTTACACAAACACTTCCAATACACTTCACCATTTCTGTTTTAGGTATTCACCCATGAGAAATGAAATCAGATATTTTAACTTAGGAGAACATATGAAAATGTTCTGTCTGGTATATGCAATAATATAGGGAAGGTGGAAAAGTAGGGAATGTGGTGAGTGGGATGTTTTGGCCTTTTATGAACTTTTTTGATTCTGTTCCTTTAAAAAGTAGTTTCTTAAAAGAGGTGGATTTTCTTCCATGAAGAGCTGTTGCTATAGACCTATCATTGATAAACAGAAAGATGACAGAAAAGGTATGACAACCCTGTGTTACTTTAACATAGGGAAATTGACATATCTACACACATGTATGTATATATAATCACATATAACATTTTGTATATGTGTATATATACTTGTTAATGTGTGTAAATCTTTTGCATTGTGCCTTGGATGACCTTCTCATTTATCTATATCACCAAGCCTTTGAGAATTATACAGATGAGGTATAAACGTCCTCCCATGTAATTGTCCCATTGAGATTCAAGGTGGGGGTTTTCATAAAAGAATGGTTTTCCAATCACTATTAATTCTTAGAAAAGACAGGCCCTGTATACATGAATCAATGTCTGATCAGGACAAGATAAAGACCACTCTTGGTTTTTAAACAGAGGAACTTAAAAAAGTAATCTGTCATAAAAGTACAAGAAGGACTGTTGGAATAAAAGGGGGAGAAGATGCCATCCAGAAATTGGTGAAGAAGCCATTAACATCATCAGGCTGGAGGGAAAATGTTTTCCTAAGACTCAGCCATCCTATGAGGAATCCCTGTTCCTGTGTAGTTGGGGTTTTGATTGAGGCCTGACAGGTATGCGTTTCCCTCAGATCTGAAAGGCTGATATAACTGATTGAATTCCACTCTTCTGAAGTATGAGTTTTGCTCTTTCTTCTGCAACTTAATAGCTGGACAAACATCATGAGATGGAGATGGTCAAGCTTTTGTGGAAGGTCTCAATACTCTAGTCAGGTTATTTTCTCCTAAACACCATAAAATTTCTGTGGGACTATGATATAAAAATGTGGATTAGTTTAAGTCACTGGGTAGGTGGTAATTTGTTATGGTAACAAAGAAAACTCATATACCAGGTGACACAGAAGGCTGTCGGCTGTGAGTGACTCTGGTATAGAAATTGGCTTCACCGCTGGTCCAGGGTGCAGAGGTGTCAGCGCAGGAAAGCAGATGTAATGTGGAACTGAAGCCAATCCCAGTGGAAGAATAACAGCACAGGACCCTAGGATTCTGGAGCAAAGCCATGCCATCTACAATAAATAATCCTATGCCGTGTGGTAAAAGGTCTCTGTTGTGCCAGGGCTTCCCGGTAGAGAGTCTGCAAGGATAACTCAGGTTATCAGGGGACCAGGGGAAGCATAAGTGGATCAAATGGGGCGTTATTTGGGTGTAGTGAAACCTATGGGTTGGTTGGCACCCCGTGGTTTTTGGAAAGTTAAACAGGCTTCCAAAATACCCTTGTCATTTTTAAGAAGGTATGGACACAAAGAAACTATATTATTCAATTGTATTCTTATAAGCTTGGAAAAGGAGATTGCCCATATTTGGAAGAAAACACAAATTAGTTTTAATGAAGTGAATCAGTATTTCCAAGGACAATAATAATTTTATGTTAAGTGAAAAATCCAGAATCCAAGTTATATTGTTTACTGTTGTTGTGAGTTTTTGTGTGCTGTTGGGAGAATGTCTGAGTTTGAATTACAGCAACATGCAAACATTAAATTTTTTGTGAAACTTGGCAAGAGTGGAAATGAAATCAGGGACATGTTTCTCCAAGTTTATGGGGATAACACCATGAAGAAACCGGCAGTGTACAAATGAATTAAACGTTTTTCTGAGAAGGGAGAAAGCGTCACTGATGAAGAGAGGTCAGGGTGGCCAATAATGAGCAGAACTGATGAAAACATTGCAAAAATTTGTCAAATTGTGTGTCAAAATTGTTGGCTGACTGTGAGAAGCATAGCAGACCAAGTGAACATCGATACAGAAACAGGAAAATCTTCATTGATAATCTGGCATGAGAAAGCTGTGTGCAAAAATGGTCCCAAAAAAGCCCTTGCATCACGACAGTGCTCACATGGCACTGTCTGTGAGGGAGTTTTTAGCCAGGAAACAAATAACTGTATTGGAACACCCTCCCTACTCACTTGATCTGCCCCCCAATGGTTTCTTTCTTTACCCGAAGATAAAGGAAATATTGAAAGGAAGACATTTTGATGACATTCAGGACATCAAGGGTAATGCAATGACAGCTCTGATGGCCATTCCAGAAAAAGAGTTCCAAAATTGCTTTGAAGGGTGGACTAGGTGCTGGCATCGGTGCATAGCTTCCCAAAGGGAGTGCTTCGAAGGTGACCGTAGTGATATTCAGCAATGATGTATGTAGCACTTTTTCTAGGATGTGTTTGCAAATGTAATTGTCAGACCTTGTATTAACATCATTTCCTAATTTAGTTGTTACACATCTATGACATATGTATTATCATAGTCAGTCTTATTGATAAAGAAATTGAGGCTTAGAAAATTTAAGTAGTTCACCAAAAGATCATACAGTAAATGGCAAAGCTTGGAATTGAATTTAAATGTATGTATCCAAGCCCATGCTTCTTTAATGGAGCTGATCTGTCAGTAGCTCTTTTTCACGTTCCTGCAGATTTCCTTTCCCCCATTTAGGAAATAATTGTTTTTGTGCATCAAAAACAGCATTTAGCTATGAAGGGGATAATAGTCTCTTTTCTGCCTTGACCAAGTCAGACAAAACTAAAATGGTGTCATCGTTTATGAGATTTGTAATAATTGTCTTTTATTAACCTGAATATTTCAGACATGTGCTTGTTATTAGCTAACTTATTATTAAAATCATTGTTAAATAATTAAAGATATTTCTGGGGTTATAAACTACTTGTGAATACAAGATGCTTTTGCTTTCCCCAAATTACGATTTCTGAACAATTACAACAAAGATTGCATGGCTCAAAATAAGATAATCACATGTGTAGCTTTGATCAAAACCCTTCTATAATACTTAGAGTGGCAATGTTCCCATCACTGGAAAATTTGAGGGTGATTATGTACCATTGGTGATTATTACTATAATCTCTAACTTCCTCTAGAGACTATGGAAGGCTTGAGGAAGACACACTTCAAGTTACTCCTTAATTAAGAGACTTTATGTGTATTTAATGTTATAATATGCCTAGTAAAGTTATCAGATTCAAAATATAATAGAAAGTTAAAAGATAATGATCAAGGAGTCTAGATGAGTATGTTGAGAGCATCAGTGACACTAAAATGAGAAAACAGTTAAATAGAAAACAGATGAGTAAGGGAACAACTTGTCAGAAATGCAGACTTGTTATTTTACCAGTTTGCTGCATTGTTTTTTAGAACACTAAGGCAATTATTGTAGCATCAGGATGGAACCCATGGAAAGCTTGAAGATATATAGGGCTATATTTCCTTCATATCCATTTATGAGGTTGGACAATTAAATTTGCGAACTCATCCTAGAAGAAGTGCTACATACCTCATTGCCGAATATCACTACAGTCACCTTCGAAGTACACCCCTTGGGACGCTATGCACTGACCCCAGTGCCTATTCCACCCTTCAAAGCAGTTTTGGAAC